CCCCCTGCAATTAGTTCATACTCTGTGCAAGCTGCAGTGTGCTTCTCACTTGTGAAATCAACTTCCAAAAGATCAGCCGCACAAAACCAGAGTAAGTGAAATCCAGTTTTATTGAAGTAGATCCAAACAAATTCCAAGAAAATAAATCCAAAGTATGATATGCAACATGTACATCACTATGAGTCTCCCCCGTGCTAACGCCTCTCACGTGTTTCACCACCTGGGCTTAATCATAGAGGTGAAGCCCTTTAGTTTATGTGCACGATATGTGTAAAATATCACCCTGTTCCACGGAAACGGTAATTGTAGTAATAATTCTAATAGTCTTCAGCCTTCAATGAATAATAGATCTCTCAATTGAAACAGAAGGCAGAAAGAATTATAATAGTAAACCAGTGGGAAACTCATGTGCATGGTAAGTTTCCCAATAAAATAATAAACTGATGGGTTATTGGACTTGTTAGGCATCGTGTGTGTTTTCCTCCGGGGTAGATCCCTTTCCTTTTTGTGTATCCATAACACCTGTTTACTCATTCTAGTTTTGTATTCCTTTGTATAAAGCTTCAGAGCTGTGGAGAGAAATTTTCAGGAGGCTGAGCAGGGCGGGAGGAGAGAGCTGTCAGCGTTATCACAGGAGGCCGAGCTCTTCTCCCACACAACCACGCTCGGAGCAGTATACAAACACTCAGCGATAACTGAGGACAAAGTATGCAGGGCTGAAACTAGGGGGGGGGGCAGTGGGGCATGTGCCCTAGGCGCTGCATTAGGAGGGGCTCCGCCATCAGGGTGACCAACCGGCTAGGGGTGGACCTACCGCTCAGTGCTGGGGGGGACTGGATGGCACTGCGTACCAACCCAGCCTCGTGCGGTAGGTCTGCCATCACAGGAGGAGGCATGACACTTTAATTTTAAAGATGGGACTGTGTGTCCCGCACTTCCTGAGGAACCACAGCTGAGCCTGTATACAGAAACCTGCTGAGATCTGGTGAGTGAGATCCTCCTTCAGTCCTGCTGTGATATTCCAACTGCCCCCCTGAGAGCTTTCATCTGCCCTGCTGTGATCTTCTTTCTGCCCCTGCTGTAATCTTCCACCTGTCTCTGCTGTGATCTTCCATCTTTCATCCTGAGAACTTCCACCTGCCCCTCTGAGATCTTCCATATGTCTTGCTGCAATCTTCCATCTGCCCCCCTGAGATCCTTCATCTTCCCTGCAGTGATTTTCCGTCCGCCCCCCAAGATCCTTCATCTGCCCCGCTGCCATCTTCCATCTGCCCCTGAAGCCATCTTCCATCTGCCCCTGATGCCATCTTCCATCTGCCCCTGATGCCATCTTCCATCTGCCACTGATGCCATCTTCAATCTGCCCCTGATGCAATCTTTAATCTGCCCCTGATGCCATCTTCAATCTGCCACTGCTGAGATCCTCAATCTGCTGGTGTACAAGTACCAGGAACAGGTAAGAGGAGCTGGGAGGGAGATGCAGCCCGGACACTGCCGAGCCCAGCATGGATGCTGCACAGCCCATCTGTTAGACTCTATGGTGGGCTCTGCAGGGGTCTCAGGTGGGTCCTGTGTCCAGCGCGTCACTAAGCTCTGCGTCCATTGGGTCACTAAGCCCTGCGCCCATTAGGTCACTAAGCCCAGAGTCCATCGGGTCACCAAGCCCAGAGTCCATCGGGTCACCAAGCCCAGAGTCCATCGGGTCACTAGTGCCATTCTGCATTAGAGTGTAAGCTCCTCTGTACAGAGACTGGTGTGACTGTCTCAGTGTTCTCTGTACAGCACTGCGGTATATGTCGGCGCTATATAAATGTATAATAATAGTGTGTGACTGTGGGGGGACATTAGAGTGTAAGCTCCTGTGTACAGAGACTGATGTGGCTGGTTCAGTGTTCTCTGCACAACGCTGCGGTATATGTCAGAGCTATATAAATGTATAATAATAACAACTATGCACCGATACCGAGTACTCTCTCAAGTGCTCCGATGCCTAGCCCAGTACTTTAGCTTCAGACATCAGGAAGCCAGGCAGCAAGTCATTACACGGCGCTCGGTTTCCTGATTGTCCAGAAAGTCGGCTCCATGCTTTCTCACCACCTAGTGATGAGAAGCTTGGGGGCGGCTTCCCTGCTAAGCGGGAAGCCGGGTGGTGAGTCATTACACGCCGCCCGAGTTCCTTAATGGGACTTCCGGTATTGGTATTTGGTATCGGCGAGTTGCCGGAAAAAAAATATCTGTACTCGACACAGAAAAACTAGTATCGGTGCATCCCTAATAATAACAGTGTGTGACTGTGGGGGGGACATTAGAGTGTATGCTCCTCTGTCAGAGACTGATGTGACTGGTTCAGTGTGTGGGGCGGCGGTGCGGGGGGCGGCCTAAAGCCATGTAAGGGGCCCCAACATTTTTGATGTCTGCCCTGATCATCTGCAATCCTGTGCTGTGCATATATCTGACTGTCAAACTCTCCACAATTGTCTCCTGTACTTACAGCACATAATTTCCTCCATTCTCCTCTACTGAACACACTTCCTAACCTTTTCTCCTGCACACATTTCCTACTGCCTTACTCTACACAATCTTCTTCTGCATATACTGGCCACTGTCATACACTCACAAGCCACTCCTGGACGTGCTGCCTACAGTCATACCCTCTACATAGTTTCCACTGTCTTATCTTTTCCTGGATATAGTGTCAACTGTCATACCGCCCATCACTCCTCTCCAGCACATACAGCCTGCCATTTAACTCTCCAGCACTCCTCTCATACAGATATTGCCCAGTTCTATAATATCCTCACTCTGTTGCAGATACCTGCTGTCATACCAACTGAGATATCTATCCTGCATATCTTACACTACAAATCTATTTAAACATTGTTTCTACTTCTTATTGAGCCTGCTATATTTAAAACACTATCATCATTAGCAATATTTGGAACATCTCGAATATAGTTAATTCTGGAATAGTTACAATTTTCCTAGTTGTTTATGGAGTATATTTCTAACACTCCATAGGTCTTCAGAATAGAAAGGATAAGAATGAGGGCTCATGCATGAGGGCACATTTAGGGGCGTACAAAATAAATTGGTGCTTTTTTTCTGTGCCCTGGATAAACAACTAGTGAGTACAGCCACCCATAAATACGAATGGATGTGCACCGTTGTATGTGAGTTCACACAAGTACTCGATCAAACCTACATACAGCATACAGATGTTTTCTGTGAATGCAGACCTTCTGCATTTGGGAAATAAATCTCTAAGTTTTGCTTAGGTTTACGTGAGCACTGGTGTATACCTGCGTACAGCTGTGCAAAGCCATTCATATGTTTGGGCAGTTGTGTACACCAGTTATTCAAGTAATTCAAGCTGTGCACACCAGTTATTCAAGTAAGCAAAAACTTAATATTTTGTACACCTGCTGTAGAATAGCTAAGGGGTTAAAAAGAGGAAAAACAAGTTACCCCACTTAGCACACACGTTACTAATACCTTTGCTCATGCAGTTATAATAAAGCTGTAATATTCTGTGTTAGCAATGGTAAAATAATGGTTTATTCATGCTCAAACTTGCTATAAAAATTTACATTAACCTAAGAAAAAAAATTAATTAATTTAGGTTTGCTTAAAGTCATTTAGTTCTCCGTTTTCCATATTGATGTAAATTCAACCCTTATCCAAAAATTATAAACAGTAATTTTAAAAAAATGCTGCATTTGCAAAAAGTCATTTTCAGTTATCCCTGAATACAGAAACTGTGGTACGAAGAATAACTACTAAAGCTCAAAAAAAATAATGACTCACCTTCTGTTGCTACATCTTCTATTTTGACATTATTTTTTTGAGCCATGTAACCAAGTATTGAGAAAATGGCAAATCCAGAGATAAAACTTGTGACACAGTTAATTGTACTTGTAAGCAAAGCATCCCTGAAATGAAAAAGATTGGTTCACACTTTAAATCTGTTGATCTGCCGCTACAGTTTTTTCTTTTTGTATTATTGATATTGAGTCTGCACATTAATATAGAACATTCACATCAGCCCTTGCATCAGTGAAGATTACAATATAACAGTCTTAAACACACATGAAACTAAGGGCAATTTGAATATAAGCCAGTAAAAAGAGTTAGGAATGTGTGAGGAAGATTTGTCATCACCTCAGACAGACATGCAAAAAAATTGAGAATACACTCAATAACGTATTTCCTTGACGGAAAGAATCATAGCCTTTCAACTATTTTATATTGCATCTATAATTATTATGGATTTAATTTTACAGTTGCATTTAAGTAGTATTATTTAACACTTTAAATGTACAACATATTTTATTAAGAAACAACTCTGGTAGACCCACTGCAAGGGTTATGTTTAATTCTACCCAATGCACTGCAATTGTTAAGTGCTTGTTTTGGTCCAGGATCTAAAATAAAAAAAAAGATAGTGCAGGTGCTACCTATGTTATAATATCAATATTCAATATATTAAGTAGCAATTACAATATATCAAAAACTACGGGGAACAAAGGGAGCTATGCAAAATACAGCTAAAGTGAAAAACCAAACTCCAGGGTTTCACAATTACAATATATCCATCATCTACAGTGTCTGGAACATTTTAGTTCATGTCATAAATCTAGGACCCAAGGCTCTCCTTGTCTGTGCAGCTGACAAGCTAAAAACAGTTTAGGGTGGATATATAATTAGAAAATCATCCCTGGCTCTTGTAGTTCTTGTGTGTTTCCCCTCCCTTCTCTCTATCAGATTACTGCCTACTTCTTTGGAGTGCAACACAGTCTTTTCCCTCGGTCCATATGCTACTGGATTGAGACACAATCTACTGCTGACATTGTCTGACATTACTTCTCTGATACACCCTCCGGGTTCTGTATTATGCTGTTACATACAGGATGGGCTCGGTCTTGGCGGATTATGTGTTTTTTTCAAAACCAGTGCCTCATATTGGATCATGTTTACCAGCCTCTATACCTAGAGGCGTAACTAGAACCTTCAGGGCCCCGGCGCAAGGAACCTTGAAGGCCCCACCCCAACCCCCATGGCACCGTATGGTTAACAGGAAGGCTGCCTTACGCACAGACCGGATTAATGAGGAAATGAGGAAAATTTATTTACAAAGTATTCGTTTGTAATGGTTTATTGTGACTGTTAATAGTATGCCATGCATGGCAGTGAATGATGTATGGAATATTATTAATGATCACAATTAACGATTTTATCAAAATACTTTGTAAATAAATCCCTGTTTCCTCGATAATACTGGTCTGTGCGCAAGCGCAGATGCTGAGGTCGGCAAATTCGACTACGTTGGCGTTCTCAACAGAACACTGGTATCTGCATTTAGTATCGGGGCATTTTCACGAGTATGGGTACTCGTGAAAATGCCCAGTATTGGCAGTGGTGTATCCCTACTTAAAAATATAATGCATTGCTAAGACTTGTAGTCCTACATAGTTGGTGCTATTCTGCATTGCTGTATAATCATCATACAGCAATGCAGAATACCAACAGCTATGCGGGACTACAAGTCCCAGCAATACATTATAATAAACGTCAGCAATGCAGAATACCACCAGCTATGCGGGACTACAAGTCCCAGCAATACATTATAATAAAAGTCAGCAATGCAGAATACTACTAGAGCTACCAGAATACTACCAGAATACTCGCAGAATACTACAAGTCCCAGCAATACATTATAATAAAAGTGAGCAATGCAGAATACCAACAGCAGCAGAATACTGCAGCACATTCTGCAGGACTAGTGACAGCCTCTCCAGCCCTGCCGCACATCTGCCCGTACATGCTGCGGGTGGCAGAGCGGCAGGGAAGGAGCGGCACGATCTTGGGGGAGCCCTCTTCTTCCTCGCTGGGCGCCCCCCTAACAGGCAGAACGCCGGGGCCCGGTCGCAATTGCGACCCTGGTAGTTCCGCCAGTGTCTATACCAGGTTGTTCTCTTTTCTCTCCAATTTTTGTATTAAAATGCTTATTAAAATCTGATTTCAAAAAAAATAATAGAAAATGATCCAATTCAAAAATGTAGTGGATTAAAAAAAATTACTGTAGCTTTAATATTAACACCAATTTAAAATGATTTATAAGGTATACATACTCTTTTAAATATCTTATTTTATTTTTCAGTTGCCAGATATTATGTGCTTTAGATGATACATTTGTAAATACATTTGATTTGTTAATGTATAAGTATATGAGAATGGTAGTATGAGTTGCTTTTGCAGTTTGGTACATTAGGGTTTACGTATTTGATGCGAGATCCATTGAGGCGGCCAAAAAGTGAAACTTATGTGGGACAATTTAATATAAAGGATATGCCTATTTCATCTTTTAGTTTGTGAGTGGTAAATATTTACATAAATTTTCTATCACCCTCAACTGGCACACATACAATTATATTGTGCCTGTCCCACAATTCTATTGCCTTAATTTAAGGATAGCCTGGAAGGAAAAAACTGCAGTGATCTCTGTGTACAAACAGTCATGTGAAAAAGTAAGAACACCCCCATGGAAATTATTGACTTTTTCAACAGGAAAACATTACAGGATGGCATCGGCACCCCACGGTTGCGACATGTAGTCCAACGCCGCCCACAATCCTGTATACCGCAACGGCCAGGCGCCGATGCCATCCTCAATTTAACCAGTTGACATCCGCGGTGTTAAACCCCCTTCCCATCCAGGCCATTTTTCAGTATTCAGCGCTGCGGTACTTTGACTGACATTTATTCCGTCATGCAATGCTGTACTGAAATGAATTTTATACCTTTTTTGGGGGGCAGAACAACTTGGCCCCCCTCCAGGTCTGCCTCTTCCCCCGCCTTCCCCCCGCCCCTGGCTGCTACTTTTGCCATCCATGTAACAGTAGTGTGAATGGTCGGGTGATGTGAGGACTCCTAGGAAGTCAATGACAGGGGTGGCTGGCTGGGGTCATGGTGCTCTCCTCCCACTGGGCTCCCTACCTGGTTCTAAACTTACTGCACTCCACATCCGGTACTTAGGCACTCTCGCCCACTGTAGACCGCCGCTGGCTGTCCATGATTCTGGGCTGTGAGCTGTGGGAGGATAGTGGGAGGAGTCAGACATTGTCAAAGTCAGTGATCTATAATTTTTCTTGATCCTATCCATTTTCTCAACTGTGTCACTTCCAGTGGGGCAGAGTCATCTGAATCAGCTGTTTTCATGACCCCCTTTCTTCATGACATGCGCACCTGGAAGTGACGCGGTAGAGAAATGTATGGGTTGAGGAAAGTTAGAACACACCGGTAGTGGAGGGATGCCTCATCAGTGCTGTGCGCGTGCTGCGACCCTGGTAGTTCTGCCACTAACTCCAAGCTGTAGGGGGACTACAAATCTCAGCACAATATACAGCAATGCAGATTAATACCACCAGCTAGAGGACTATAAATCTCAGAAATACATTGTACAGCAATAAACAATACCAACAGCTATAGAGAACTACAATTCCCAACAATATATTACACAACAATTAAGAATACCAACAGCTATAGAGAACTACAATTCCCAGCAATACATTATACAGCAATGCAGAATGGCATCAGCTATAGAGGACTACAAATCCCAGCAATACATAATACAGCAAGGAGGGTTCTGTGGGCTCTCAGGAGGTCAGTGTGAGCTCTCAGGTGAGTTGTGCAGGCTCTCACCAGGGGTCCAGAGAGTTTCACAGGTGCGTGCAGGTGCAACAGAGGCGGCTCCCTAATTAGGCTCTCAGGTGGCCAATGTGGACTGCCATGTGGCCAGTGGGGCTCTCTGCTGGTCAGTGCGGGCTATCTGCTGGTCAATGGTGGCTCCCTGATAATTAGTGGGGGCTCTGTGGTGGCTCCCAGGTGGTTAGTGGTGGTTAGTGGGGGCTCCATGGACCCTGGTGGGCCCCCGCCAAATTAAGCAGCTCGTGCCTGATCCTCGCATACCGAGGCGATCCGGGCTGGATCGGGCAGACACGGCCCTCTAATCAGGCATGTTAGAGGGCCGCCCGTGGGGGCCTCCCGAGGCCCCCTTGAGGAGCGAGCTGCCGCCCGATTACAGAGCCGCATCTGCTGCATGCTGGCTGGCCGGGAGCAGCGGTGCAGGTGGCAGAAAGGCAGCGGAGGGAGGGAACAACGCAGGGCCGGTGCAAGGATTTTTGCCTACACAGGCGAAGGTGCATTTTTGCACCCCCTGCGGCGCCCACAGATGGCTGTCTATACAGCCTTGCACTCATGCCGGCCATGACCACATTGCTCAATCTACCCTAAAAGCTGGGAGTCATTTCTTCACTAAGAGCAGATCACACGTTAGGTTCACCTTTCTGACCATGTTTCAAGTTATACCCATATTTAGGGTGAAACATGAAACACGGTCAGATTGCAACCCCCCACTTACCTGAATCACAGGGTTCTTCGCCCCACGGGCTGCTGTTTGTTTTTCTTTTAAGTTGTGCGGCTGTACTCTGCCCACACAGCCGCATCATCCATCCACAGGAAGGAGGAACTACGAGTCCTGTTTGCCATCGGGGGACTTGTAGTTTCAGAGTTCCTAACTTAGGAACATGTTCGAAAACCAGCCGAACATCGTACGATGTTCGGCTGGTTTGTGGCATGTTCGCAAGATAAAAGCCGCACGGGCCGGTGTGCGCAAGCGCACACTGCCTGTTCAGCATTGCGATCATCGCAAGTACGATCTGCCTGTCCAAAGATAGGCAGATCTTACGTTTTTTTTAATTACCTTACAACCATCGCAAGACAAAAGTCTTGCGATGGTTGTAAGGTGTGTGCCCAGCCTGAGGCTACCTGCATATAACTTTTTGGGTCCTTGAAGACTTCTTTTAGCATTAAACAGACACATTAGCAGTCATTTGACACCGACACGACTTGTAAATTATTTTTCTTACAGTGG